ACTGTGGGCTGGCGGCGACCGCGGAAGACGGTTGGAAGGAGAAGGAGGACAGGAGGAGGGGTTGCCGCCGTGGGGGTCGCAGGGGGCTTAGGCATGGGGTGGGCCCTTTTGCAGGCGCGCCGCGCCGTCGCGCGTGTAAAACGTATTGTCTCTATTGACATGAGGCGCAAAAGGGCCGCAGTTAGCGCGCCCCGGGCGGCCTGGCGGCCGCTGTGCTGAGCGGCGCTATGTAGCTCTGCGCGCGCACGCACGCTCGACCGAAGCTGGGGCCGGTCCCGTACGCCGTAGCCAAGAGAGCCCGCGCCGATGAGTTCGACGCGGTCGGGGGGCCTTGCGGAGAGGCCAGCGAGGTGGATTGATGGGAAGGCGAAACACAGTCCGACCAACGACTGGGACACCAACGCGGTATTATGGGTGGACGCAGCTCGCAGGACGGGCGGTGACGGTCACACAGGAGCGACACACAGAACCACCCAAGACAAGACACTCAGCCAACGTGGCTGGCACACATCCTGAGCAACTTCCCTAGTCACCCGCGGCCGGACTCCATCCGGCACGCGTCAGGGTGGCCCGTCACAACGACCACTGGGATCGCGACTCGCCGCTTGCCTTCCTCCCACTGTGAATTTTGTGTGAGCTCTCAGAGAGAGATTTTTTTGTGAAGAGAGAGATTTAGTCGTCGATCGAGAGAGTACGTAAAAGTACAGTTGCCGTCCAGAAGAGATTTCGCCAAGCGAGGGGTACTTCCTACCCACAGAAAAAGGGGGACATTCGTGCAACTGGCGACATGTCGTCAATGAGCAATCTCGGCGTGGCCCAGGCTAGACCCCGTTGTTGTCCTCTCAGCCCAGGGCCCAGGCACCAAAACAGGCCCGCCGTGGTACATGGCGATGGTGAGCAGCGCCTCGCCGGTGCCGCTGTCGCCCATTGTGCTGTCCAAGCCATCCCTCGACAGCGAGCACGTCGAGGCCGCCGGCCTGCTCCACCTCTTCGCGGGCGGCCAAGCGAGCGGTCTGGCGACGGAGAAACCGCCGCCCGCGGTAGTAAGGAGGCAACCTCCCGCGCCGAAGCCGAACCCGCCGCCGCCGCAGCCGCCGCAGCCGCCGCCGCCCGAGCGGAGGAAGCCTGAGAAGAACGCCAACCCGAGGCGCCGCTACCACTCCGCCTCCTACAAACTCTCCGTCGTGCGGGAGGCGCGCCCCCGTCCAAACTTGTGGGCAATCACACCCCGCCCCGGCCGTTCGCGCGGGCCCCGACCCGCCGCGCCGGGCGAGGCCGCCCCGCCGACACCCCGCCCCCCCCCGCCCCTCGCGCCCCCGCGCCCCCGCCCCACCCTGTGCCTCACCTCCCCAACCGCCGCCTCTGACATGAAACCGACGCCCGACAGGCGATGCGGCGGCCGCATCATTGCCGCATCAAGCCGACGTGCCGCGACCACCCCGAGATCGAGGCGCGCCGCTTGCGGACGCCCGCATCCCCGCACTGCCAGCAGACGCCCGCATCCCCACGCTGCCTGCGAGCTGCTCCCCTCCGGTTGGACCAACCTGCACGCCCCCCCCCCCCCCTCCCCTTCCCCCCAGGCGTGCCAGCTGCGCAAGTGGATCCAGCAGCGCGAGCGGATCGAGGCGATGGCGGCCGCTGAGCAGTCGCACACCCTACAGCGCAGCGTCGGTATCGAGCTCGACACCGACGCAAAGCCGTACAAGGCAGTTCCCGCCCAACGATCTGAAGGGTGTCGCCTGCCACTACATCTTTAATGCAGACCAGATATGATGGAACTCATACCCAGAAGCTTGGAGAGCTGACTGTACACGCTCTTG